AGTTTCTAGGCTTTAGAAGCCTCCAGGATTTTTTCCTGATATATAAAAATATTGATATAGTTTTTTGGCTTTAGAAGCCTCCAGAATATGATCCAATCAATATAGTTCCTAGGCTTTAGAACCCTCCAGGATTTTTTCCTGATATATAAAAATATCGATATAGTTTTTTGGGTTTAGAAGCCACCAGAATAAGATCCTGATATACTAAAGGTCTAACTGTTCCAAAACCCCCAGAATGACATTGTGTACATTTCTATTTCACAATCATTTGTGGTGCTTTCTGTTCCAAAATTTTCAGATGCCAGGCCTTCACTAAAAAAACTCGTACTATCATTATCTAATAAGTCATCATCTTCATCAGAGTTAACATATTCGTAATTTCCATCAATGAAATTCAAAAAAAAAGTTTCTTGTGAATCTGAATTCGCAATCTTTTCTTTCATATCGATAAAATTAATGTTTGCCTTTAAGATTTTGTAGCTTTGATTGAAGTTTCTTTTGTCTTAAAATGCTTGTAAACCAAAATAAATCAGATAATAAATAAAGAAAGAATATATGAATTCTTTTTACTTAGAGATCTGATGTATGTTGGCTAGTAGCTTGGGAAGTTAGTGTCCAAGTAAATGCACTTTTGTCAACGTCTTTAAGAAAACTGTGAGAATTTTTGTGAAGATCCTCCTAATTACGGGCTATTCTTTTTTTTTTTTTTAAAAAAAAAAAAAAACAGTAAATTGACAATCCCTTAATTTCTCCCGCTTAAAGATGAAGCGTTACCTTAGTGTTACTATTATCATTATTGTTATGCACGTTCGCACAGAATTATACTATCGCTATGATACATAGAGACTATCGCTATATAGAGATTATTTGAATGTTTGGATTTGTAATTTATGATTCATAGTGCCAGTGCCGGCACTTACAGAAAATACTCGAGGTAAAAAGTCAGTCAAAATATGCTTTAAACTTTTTTTTTTCCTCAGATATTGATGGCATTTACTCTGAGTTCACTAATCGGAGTACCAATAAGTTGATTAATAAAATACTAATTAGATATTTAAACTATTCTAAACTTCAGGCATTATTACCTACCATAAGAAATAAAAAGCATTAATAACAAATATCCAAAGTCTGTTTTATAAATTTATTCATCTTCGAGATTCATATAATTTAGGTTAGAATATATATAGTTCCAATGCTTAACACTCTACTGTAAATCAACGATTATTAATACGTAGAAGTCTCGGATATTGTACAAAAGCAATAATAGTAATAATGTATTACGTTATCTGAGCATTATGGATGTTGTATGTACGTACTAGGGTTCTGCAAGTGCCGGCACTTGCAGAACCCTAGTACGTACGTACCTGATACAGCGTTTTAATTTTAACAAAATTTTTTGATTAGATTACTGACGCTAATTTATTATCCATGGTTCTACTTGGATCAAAGTTTCTTTTACATTATAACAGTTATAGAAAATAATAAAGTGAATAATTAATGAAAGATGAACTTATACAATATTTCTACTTAGTTCAATACGAGAGGTTAGCATATAGTTTATGGAGATACCGTTCAAATAACCTTTTTTTATCTATGAAAAACAATAGAAAATTCTCACGATGATCATATAAATTGACAATTGTCTTACGGATTAACAGACATTAGCGTTAATACGCGACCGTTAAACTATCCGAAAAACACGTGATATAATCACATGTATGATTTTTGCTTCATAATTTTAATCGAAGTTTCTTTTATAATACAGTAGCTGTAAAAAAATACAAAGCAAATATTTAATAAAAGGCGGACATACGTCGCATTATTATTTAGTCTAGTAAAAGATTAAGATAAAATTTATGGATATTATCTAAATAAACATTACTCGTCTAAGTAAAACCAGTACAAATTCATAATGATGATCTTATAAATTGACAATTCTTATTGGATTAACGGACATAATCCTTGACCGATAAAAACTGTAAATGAAAGTAAACTGTATATGATAATATATATATTTATATATTTCAACAAAATTATGTTCATTTTAAGCATACCTTTTTTTATTAATACCGGTTTAATATTTTATATTCAATTAAAAAGCCTTATTAATAATATAATCTTTGTTAAAAATTTAAAATTTCTTGGTGCATTCAATTACATTTCAATTACATTGGATTAATTTTAAGACGACAAATACAATAAATTACCTTTATTATCATTAAAAATTTACATATAGAAATTTATCCAAGAATAATAAAAATAATGTTTCCGCGTCTCTTAAAACGGTGTCAGCGCGTAATTTAAAAAATAGACCATCACTAAGTTAGAAAGCTATCATAGTTATTTTTGGTAGAGAAAGGTTTTTATGATATTGTTACAGTAGTTGATGTATTCTTCCGATGTATTCCTTTATATAAACTAATTAGTTTATTAGAGCGCCTTGAAAGTAAAGCCATTGCTTAAATCCGTGATTTTTATTTATGTGAAAACATATAAATACATCATTGAAAAACTTTGAAAAGCTTTTTTTTTTTATTTAAGCAGACTTAACCTTATTGGTACCGCGGAGCAAACCACTTCTCCTTGCAGCAATCAAACCAACCTAAAAAAAAAAAAAATTAGAATCAATTCTGTATAATAATATTAGAACATAAAAATGGTATATACTTTTTGTCCAGGAGCGCTTTCCCTAGAAACTGTAGAAGCGTGACCAATATGTTGATGGTTACCACCACCATGAGGATGGTCTACCGGATTCATAGCCACACCACGAGTTTTCGGCCAGCAATTCCTTTTTACTCTGTATTTATGATAAGCACGACCAGCTTTGAGCAAGGGTTTATCAATACGGCCACCACCAGCGACAATACCAACAGTCGCACGAGCATTGGAGTTGATAACTTTTTTAGCACCTGAAGGGAGTTTGACACGAGTCTTGCCTTCGTCATGATTGTGACCAATTATGGTAGCATAGTTACCGGAGGCGCGGGCTAAAGCACCACGATCACCGATCTTTTCTTCAATGTTACAAATTATCGTACCTTCAGGCATTGCTGCCAGGGGAAGTACGTTACCAACTGTCAAAGCGGCTTTTTTTCCGCAATAAACGAACTGACCAGTGTGTAAACCCTCAGTGGCAATGAATGTTTGGAGACGAAGCTTATATCTAAACCATTTGAATATAAAATGACTAAATTTTGGTACAAAAATAAATTATCTTTCAGGTACATAAATAAACATACCGATAAGGATCACGAAATTGAACCTTTGCAAGGGGAGCACCGCGACCTGGATCGTGGACTATTTCTTTAACAATGCCTCTTATATATCCATTGCGTTCGGCAAAATCTAAGGGACGTAATTTAGCAGCTCCTTTGCGAAGTCTAGTATGAGCTCTAAAGATACCGCCCGGACCTTTTCTTTGGGAACGAATGACACGACCCATTCTTAAACAATTTTAAGTCTTTAAATATTTTGAATTTTATTGAAATTAATAAAATTGTTAAAAAACATTAGGCTATCCATCGACAAAAAAACCAATATTTTTTCATCCATTTAATATATACAAAACGAAATACCATGTAAATGGATTATTGATGCAAATTTCCATCTATAAAAAAATATATCATACCAAAAAAACAAAAGGTCCACCAGCAGAAAAAAACTTTAAAATCTGAATTGAGAGATTAGATAATTTATTAACCAAATTATTGATTTTGATTGGTCGATTCTTTTTTTTTTTTTGATACATTTTTTTCGACAGACCACAAATTTGACATTTTAAGTCCATCAATAAAGCTTGTATACTTAACATGGTAAATATCGAAGGCTATTTACTAACGTTATTAAATTTTTGTTGTGGTCGTTTTAAATTAATGGAATAAATCATTTAGACTAGTACGGCAGGGACATCGCAAATTAGCAAAAAAGTTGTATCAAAAGATGAATGGGTCAAAAAATTATCAGATGTCAAGATTGATAAAGCGTATGCCAAAGATTGCAAATTCAGTGTTTAAAGCCCAAAAAATTAAATAGAAAAGTGGAAATATAATACTCATTTTATTTGACCTTTTATTTCTATAGGGATCTTAATAAACTTATCATGAATTATTTTGTTATTGAAGGATATAAAGATGCAGCAGAAGCATTTAGTCAGGAATGTGGATTATCACCAAGTATTGATGTTGATTCCATACAAGATCGAATGAACATTCGAAATGCTATTCAAAATGGGAACGTTGAGGAAGCAATTGAACGTGTGAATGATTTGAATCCAGAGGTAAAGATTTTTACTATATGATTTTCGGATAGACAGGATTGCAGAGAAATAGGCTTTGGTAAACAATAAATTATTCGTTCCAGTATCAATATTGATTATAAGACAATGATTATGATTATGTTCTCATGCACCACTCTTAGATTCAATTATTTGGTTCTATGATGAAAAATATTCACTCAGTCTTCAATATGAGTCTTATATCAATCGGTCAAAATAGTTTTATATAGATATATTTTATGCTATGATCTCAGATTATTGATATTTCTATTCACAAAGATATTGGACACAAATCCGAAATTATACTTCCATCTTCAGCAACAACGATTAATTGAATATATCCGAGAAGGCAAAATAACGGAGGCTTTAGAGTTTGCGCAAGATGAATTAGCACCCCGTGGTGAAGAAAATGTAAACCATTACTCTAAATTCTTTCTTTCGTTCACCTTATAATTTTCTTAAAAATAATATATTTTAATATATTTAGCCCGAGTTTTTGGAAGAACTAGAGCGTACGATGGCATTACTGGCGTTCGATGATACATCAGTTTCCCCAGTTGGTGATTTACTTCATCCATCACAACGTCAACGTACAGCTAGTGAATTGAACGCAGCAATTTTGACTTCACAAAGTCAAGAAAAAGATCCAAAGCTTCCTAGTTTATTAAAAATGTTAGTTTGGGCTCAAGATGAATTAGATGAAAAAGTTCTTTTTCCAAGAATGAAAAATCTTGTTACAGCCGAGTTGAGTGACACAAATGATAGTACTACTAATAACACAGCGATAAATAATTCGTTTATGTCAACATAACATAAAATGATATATCTTTCTAATAGGTCACTAATATTTGGACGATAAGGAAAAAAAAAGTAAATAAAATTTTGACTATAATTTAGTATGAAGTTAGTGGAGTTACATGAGTCACGCTTATTGTAATATAATAGCTGTATTATAATAATTGATAGAAGTTTCAAGGAATGAAAATAAGTTTGTTTTAAAAAAAAAATAACATATCAGTTGTACATTATTTCAAATAGAATTTGTTGAAATTTGGCTTTTATGTTAGAATTATTAGTTTTGGTTATTAAGCAGTATATTGTATTATAGTTCAAAAATAGCTAATTGCTTATAAAACTTATGTATTTATTATCGGTGGTTATCGCGTA